ATTCATATTTAGTTTCTAGTGGCACAAATATCAGCCCATACGAAATTAAATTAACTGAATTCATGTGGTTGAATTATAAACATGCACTTTAAAATACGTATACCTTTTGGAACTGAATTTTGGAAGCTGAATATTTTTGTACTGAATATTTAAGCAATGAAATTACGATTGAAATGTTTTCAGTTGAAATGTTCAATGTTTAAATGTATGCACATATTAAATTACAGTCCCCAAAAATTCAAAGCGTCATTAATGCAATGCGTTTTTATTCGATAAGTGTAATTCAACGTGTTTTTTTTCCATCAACGACTTCTGTCATTAATTTAGTTCCATAGTCATTAAACGCTGGGTCCTCTAACCACTTACGTGCAAATTTGCACTTACCCATGATGACTATGACTTAGGTTTTCTGAGTGTAAGCAGCCAACATGTACTTCAGCGCGCAAACTGTTTAAGACGATGCTCCACCACCGAATATGACGTCAGCATCACAGAGATCATCTATGAATGAAGGAATGAGCTAATCCACATTTAAAATAATTTGCAAGAAATTTTGCAGATAAACTTTAAAACACAAATGGACAATTTGTAGTTAAAAAAAAATCTAAAATTTAATACCTCGTAAATTTGCGTGTAATACCTTTTAATACTTTTTAATGGCTTTAATTTTTGCTTACTGTATGTGATTTACTACCTTTTAATACTTTTTAAAACCCCGCGGACACCCTGTAATTATTAGTAGGGACCCTATGCTTTTATAATTTGGAATGCAAATTTTATATTTAGATTGATTCCCCTCTCTAAACTGTTTCTGTATCTGTACCACATAGAATTGCATAACATCATATTCTTTTGCATTGCATCGTGTTAAATTGCATTGTATTGAATCAAATCATGCTGAATCGCACTACATCGCAATAGTAGTTGCTTCCTATGTATGTTTAATATATCTGGTAGCTGGCAATACATCAAAATGGTGCTGCACAGGCTTCCTTATGGAGATGTACTTCCCTACTTTACACACCATAGGGTACATTTTAGGCACACCTCAGGTACACTTTAGGATATTGTTATGAAAGAAGTTAATTAAAACAGAAAAGTTTTGGAAACAGCGCTATATCTTTTCTTTTTTTAATTTCTACGCTCTGAAAGCTATGTGTAATTCATATGCTAAATCAAAATCAAAACGGTGACGCAAAAACTTTTGGAAAATTGTTGAATTAAAATGACCCTTTTATGTCCATACCATGACAGTCTGACGGCGACTGGAACCCTTGCGGCCCCAAGGGCTTAAAGCCACTGAAGGCCCACTTTAGCATTGCCTTCAGGTCTTCATCCATGCTGACTGAAGGGAATTCCTTGCCACTCCTCTCTGCAGCCAGCTGCACAACCACAAGCACATGGGTTAGCAGCTGTCTATCTGTAAACACACTCCCTGGAGAGGAGTGCTGGCAAGCAAGGCTATACAGCAGACCCATGTTAACCTGCTACATGCCAACTCTACTCAACCTTTTAATTTTACTCCCTGCTAGGAAGATAAACAGTGGGCACCAGGCGAACAGAAGCAACAAACCATAACAAAGCATTTGCTAAGAAGCAATGGCAGAGAATCCTCAAAAGTGCTAGAGAAACCTTGGGAGCACAAGAGGAACCTCCAGACATATGACAGAAACCAAGAGCATTAGAGGAACCTAGACAGCGTGAGAGAAACTACGGGAGGAACCTCCAAACATGCAAGAGAAACCACAAGAGTGAGAGAGGAACCACAAAAGCACAAGAAAAACTATGAGAGCACAAGAGGACCCTCCAAACATGTGACAGAAATCACAAGAGTGAGAGAGGAACCTTGAGAGCACAAGAAAAACTTTGAGAGCACAAGAGGAACCTACAAACAGGTAACAGAAACCACTAGAATGAGAAGAACATGGAGAGAGCAACAAAAACCTCAAGAGCATGACAGGAACCTCCAGACATGTGACAGAAACCTCAAGAGTATGACAAACATAGAGAGTGTGACAGATATTTTGAGAGTGCTATAGAAGTCTCAAGACATACAACAGAAACCTCAAGAGTGCGACTGAAATCTCAAGAGCACTAGTGAAATGTTGAAAGCACGACACTCAAGCACTATCCATTTAGGACTAGTGGCAATATGGTGGGAGAAACCACTTGAGAAAACAATACCTCAAGGACCTGGTAGATGGCACTTTTATAGGCAGGCAGGCTAGCAAAGGAGTTCTTGCAGAAACACTTGGAAAACGGCGCAATAGGCAGGAGCTTCTCTACATAGATCTGGAAAAAAAAGTCAAATTAAGCTCTGTAACTTCTGTGAAGCCGACGCAAGAATTGTGGACAGGGAATAGGCCATGGACTCTCACCTCCGAAAACATGCCATCCCCAAACCACTCCACCCGTCGAACTGAGATCGGAATGGACTTAGACCTCCAACCGACCACAAGGCCAGGCCACCAGGAGAAGCCTTTCACCTTGCCCCACACCAGGTCTCCCACAGTGAACCCTTTACGATCCTGCAGAGGGAGCCAGAGAGGAGTCAGGGGAAAATACCAAATTCACTTGTGGGACAGTCTCAGTGTCCTTGTGCTCAGAGGGATTCATAAACAAGAATATCATCTGTAAATAACTGGAAGATAACAATAATGGAAAAGTCAGTTGGAAAGAAACGTTACCATATATGGGTAAGATTTCTTTGATCCACTGGGGCTTGTAATTGACTTTCTTGACATATGCCAGTCAGGAGTTGATGTTTGGTTCCCCTTTTGAAGATATAAGCAAAGAAAGATCTAACATCCATGTAAATAATGACACAGGGAATGTACGCAGGAAAAAATATTTTTTGAAATTATCAAGCTACAGCAAATATATAACACTGGTCAACCACTGGGTGCTATTTGGTGGCATGCTGGAAAACTAAAGAGAAAAACATGCTGCTTTATACTTTGCCATCATCACATACAAGGACAGGACACTAGCACAGTAACAAGAAGCATGCAGACAGGCTCCCTCTCAATGCTTTCAGGAAATTCAGAGGGTACCGATCGAATGGATGCTTAAATTCAGCTATGAATTGACATTAATGGCTTTGGAGTTTCAAACATTGAACAATACACCTGAAAAGAGGTCAGGAGAATCAGGACCAGAAAGCCATAATCGAAGAGGTCTCTATGTACACATACATGCATAAATACATACATACATACATACATCAGCCATGTTCTATTGTAAAACATAAAATATTGAATTTTTACCAATCCATCCATTTTCTGTACCAGCTTCTTGCATTTTAATTTTCATGTTTTTCAATACAATTATTTCCCCAAATATATGTATATAAAAAATTGCCTTTTGTCTATTTTTCCTGAAATCAGTTGTTCCATGGACAGGCTGTACTTACATACAAGTGTACAACAGCTTTCACATCTGGGACACAAGAAGACATTCACAAAATGGGGAGTTCTCTGCAGGCACCAAGGGGGCTTTTCCACTGCACCAAGTACCTTACTTTTGGTAGGGTACTTTCGGTACTTCCCTATTTTTCCAGTGAGCACCGGTACCGAAAGTTCCAGTACCAAAAGAACCAAACCAGCTGGGGTACTTTTTTGGTACTTTGATACTTTGGCGTGGGACTTGAAATGCTTTCTTTGTCGACTGGTTATGTGAATAGCCTGCCTCTGATACACAATACAAATGCTGCCTTAAAAACAGTTTCGAACTCAGAAAACAATGATAAATGGAGTAAACAAAAAATAATAAAAATAACAATAATAGTTGCATGGACAACTGAAGTGACCCAAGCTTTAACTGCAATCTGGCTGGAAGAACAGTACAAGAAGATCAGGGTAGCAAAACAAGAAACAATTAAAAATATATAAATAAATATACATAAAAAGGTATTTTGAATAACATACTAGGACAGTACAGTATTAGTGCGATGTGATTTTGTTGCAATAAATATTGTGGTGTTTATAAAAAATATGAGTTCAATGTAAATTTCTCACAAACCCATCTAGGAATGATTTGAATAGCACGGATGAAAATGCTTATGATTGACTCGGAGAATGCATGCAACACTCATGCAAAAGCAGTGAAGATAAACCTTAAACTGAGTTTTAAATATATATTAAATAATCTTGAAAAGGAATAATTATTAAAATTGTAAAACTTTTTCAAAAAGTTTTTTTTCCTAGTAAAAACGTTTTAGCAAAACTTTAACCCCCTGTGCTGTAATGTCCATGCCAAATTGAAGCTAAGAAAAGGCCTGAGCTTAATGTAGCTGACTAGTGATGTAAGAAATGTATGTGCATAACCTGCAATGTTGGTTTTAATCTCACAAATTTTCCATCCCTATAATATACTTTAGTTATTTTTCGAATTCAGTACAAAATATCCTCCTCGCGTTGTGATGTCATTCGGTGCTGGTATCAATTTTTATGCCAGTGGAAAACCAACACCTTGAAGTACTGTACTTTTGGTACTTACTTGAAGTACCAGAAGTACTGTACCTGGTGCGGTGGAAAAGCACTCCAAGCTGCCACAGCCTTGGGCTTTTCCTACAGCTACATTACGTGACGAGATGCACTAAAACTGCATGGCCTGCACTGTAAATTTCCACATTTGCTACTGGTTCTCCAAGAGGTTGGCAGACACCTGAGTTACATACCATGATGCAAGGGTCCTCACAGAGGCTGCGCAGTGGCTGCCAGGTGCTAGCCCCCGCCTGAAAGATGGTACGAGCCAGAGGTGTCTGCCGTAGACTGTTTTCCCAGCCACAAATGCCCCGAATTTTACCCTGGGGGGTAGGGTCAGGGGTCATACCACCCAAGTTATTTCAGGTTTCCATAACATTAAAGTAAGAAAAAAAATATGTAGCCTATAACTGGATCTATTTTAGTTACTTTTAATTGCAGCATTATTTTCCCTTCTACAGTCAGGCTCATAAAGTTTTTTTCATATCAGTTGATATAGATAATTATCGCTATATAATTCAAGTCAATATTTCTTTGTTTCAAGCCATAATTTTTGCTTAAAATTTAAGGATGCCCCCAACATGGATATGAAAAAGCAACAAATTGAACTAAACTGCAAACTGAAATATAAGCTAAATAATCATACAAAAACAAACTTTTTTGTTGTAGGGCGTAACACTATAAAACACTGACAGTACGGTTTATTGCTGGGTTTTTTCTCTGATTGCCCTGCTATCCATTCCAGGGGGCTGGTTTGATGTTGCTGGTAGAGTTGTTATTTGTCCCATAGTGAAAAATAAAATGTGTTCTGTTTTTAACTGATATGGGATGTGATTTGTCCTGTATTTCTTCAAATTGAAAATGGAAACCTTAACTGCTAGTGCTTATGATTGTAAGCTCTCACCTTTTGTATGTTCTACTAGATGACAATGTTTCAAGTGGTGAAATGAGTTCACAGTATTTCCAGATTGAGTTAATACAAGTTTTGTGTGTCGGCCATTATGCTGCAAAAAGTACTGCCAACACCAACAATATCTTGGCTGCTTTCCTCACCGATACTCCACCAAGTTTCTGTCTTCCATAATATTACCAAATCAGTAGCATACAGTGTGCCCTGCTAACTTAATCAACCTTGCAGTGTGTTTGATGGGCACAGGATGTCCGTTCATAAAAGCCTACCATGAAACTGGTTGGAACTCATTTCTTTGCTGTGATAGGCTGATTTGTGCCATCAAGCAATGTTCTTTATCAACAGTTTATCAAAGTTTCACATTTTCTTATCGTTTAAAGTTTCTATAACGATGTTGATATATTGTTTATATCACCCAGCCCTAGCCACCACATACCTATCATTCATTATTAATTGTTAATGGTATAAATTTGACCTTTTGTATTCGCAGAGAGAGGAACAAAAGTGGCCAGAATTTACAGTCCAGCTCAGGAAATACTGTCAGCTCCTCTTCCGTTAAAGCCATTAAGCTGTTATGTTTGCTGTTCTCTCAGCTGCTCTATATCCAAAGAGTGCTAAGAAACTCCCCATTCCATTCCAAAAATCCTTTAGGTATATTAAGAGAAAAGATGAACAAAGTAAAGGGAGATAAAAATTGCCATTTTGTGCTTATCACAAGTATCACAAGCGTAGAAGAAGAGCGTTAGCTCTGATGGGTCAACTTAAAGACCCGTCATAAAGTTGTCAGAAACATTTTGCTTTACCCCAAAATGTAGCCATTTTTTAATTTTTTTAAAAAAAGGTTGCCTTCTAAAAGCATGGGCCTGCAAAATTACAAGATAAATATTGCCATTTTGTGCAAATATCACAAGCATAGAAGAGCGTTAGCTCTAGCTGGTCAAATGAAAGAGAGTGTTAGCCTAGCTAAAGAGTGCATGTGCTCTCCTCTGGCAGCTCAACTGAAAGAGAACGTTAGCCTAGCTAAAGAGTGCATGTGCTCTCCTCTGGCAGCTCAACTGAAAGAGAGCGTTAGCCTAGCTAAAGAGTGCATGTGCTTTCCTCTGACGGGTCAACTGAAAGAGAACGTTAGCCTAGCTAAAGAGTGCATGTGCTTTCCTCTGATGGGTCAACTGAAAGAGAACGTTAGCCTAGCTAAAGAGCTGCACGTGTTCTCCTCCGGCAGTTCGACTCCATAGTGATGGAGAAACAGACAGAGTTTGCAAATTTAGCTTCCTTTCTACATAAAATTGTCAGAAACATTTCTCTTTACCCAAATGTAGCCATTTTTTGATAAATAAAAAAAAGATTGCCTTCTGAAAGCATGGGCCTGCAAAATCACAAGCCTTTCTTTTGTGATTCCCATTTGTCTGCATACTGATGAGTAATACCCTGTCACAACTGGGGAATGTTTCAAGCCAAAGCAAAGATTAAGACCATTGCAACAGCTGGGCTCTTGCTCTGCAATGGGGAGCACAGGGTCCAAATCAAACTATATTAGCGACAATTTGAAGCTGCCACCATGATTAAGACACAGAGCTTAGAAATGAAACCAAAAGGATGTGATTTCCAGCTCAGGGATTTTGTTTAGTCATTTAAGTATTTTCATACTTAAATGACTAAACAAAATGTTCATACTTAAATGTTCATTCATTTATAGCTTTTATATTTCTTCCTCTTTATATTTCCTTGCTACTTGCTTCCTCACATCACGTTCTCATGCAACACGCTCTCACCAAAGCCATCTGACCGCCTGGCTCCCGGAGTCCGTGTGAGACCACAGATAAAGGGCCTGCTTACCTCGATGGGGGCCTACAGACGCAGACAGACCCTGAACACCCCGTGTGTGAACATCTTTCTGCAACATTTTCATTCTGCCTCGTAAACTGCTCAAGCGCAAGAAACCTGCTTTATCATTTAACTCTGAAAGAACCTGAGTTTTCACTGAAGAAATTCAGCAAAGTGTTGGCCCTGAAAAGATTAAGGCATATGAAGAGATATTGCTTTTCAGTGGGTTAAGACTCTGAGTCAGTGATTGGAAGGTTGCCAGTTCAAATTCTGGGGCTGGCAGAATTATGCCACCTTTGGGCCCCTAACCCCCAATTGCACCAGGGGCACTGCACGCTGGCTGACCCTGTGCTATGACCCCACCTGTGTGTGTGTGTGTGTGTGTGTGTGTGTGTCTCATGAAGAGCAAGATGAGGTAAGCGATCTCCATTGTGAAGAATAAAGTATCTCTATTCTGTTCTAAACATTTAAGTTGTAAGATCTGTGGGTCACTTTGAATGCTGGAGTCTGAAATGGCAAAAAATCTAAAGACTGCTACAGCAGTAAGTCCACTGTAATTCCATCCCAGTGTCCTGTTTGATTACAGATCAGTGAATACCTTCTGATTATACGGCGCTGAAATGGTATCATCCATAATGTAGATGGTATCCTCCGTGTACTGCAACTCTGAGGAGGCAAGAGAAAACAGACTATCACAGTCAGGTCAGGACTATAACAGCCAGGTCAGGACTATCACAGTCAGGTCAGGACTATCACAGTGAGGTCAGGATTATCACAGCCAGGTTAGAACTATCACAGCCAGGTCAGGACAATCACAGCGAGGTCAGAACTATCACAGCCAGGTCAGGACAATCACAGTCAGGTCAGACTATCACAGCGAGGTCAGGACTATCATACCAAGATTAGTTTCAGACATTCTTGAAATGCATTAATTATTTTTCTTTAAACGTTAACAGTCTAATTAATGCCATTTTTCTGTGCATGCAGGAATTTTCTCTAAACATCGATGTTTACTGAAGCAGGAGACAGGAGGCTTCATCATTCTCCCAATCCTTTCCTAACTTATTCTAAAAAACATTTATTTCTTACTGTCAATCTTCTCCAGCAGCACGGCGCATGGCTTCAGGTCAAGTCCATCTATGAAGGAATTCATATTTTTCATTCTGCATTCATTCCATTCACAGAAACATTAAGCAAAATCACAAACGATAAAAAAATATATGCAAATTCACATGCCAGATGTCACACCCCGATTGTGCCGATCCTCCTGTGCCATACCCCCCTCGTTAACCTCATGTGGATTCCCAGTGTTTAACAGCTGTTTCTGATTGTTGTCATTAGTCCAGTGTATTTAGTCTGCGTTTACGTTCGTTTCCCCAGTCTGGTCATTAATGTTACGTGTTGTGTTTAACGTTTACCCCGCAAATAAAGTCCTTTGTCCATCTCCACAGCTTCCCTTGCCTGTTTCCCTGCGCGAGTCGTGACAGAATGACCGGATTCGCGAAGACGTCTATGTGAAGAGGAATACCTCGACATTACAGATGAGGTACTTTATTGGCTGAATCAGCCCGAAATCTGGGATGATCCCGTACTGCGGGCTATAACCAACCGGAGTAGGGACATTCTGGAGATGTCCCTGCCCGGGGACGCGCGCCTTGCAGGAGAGGTGCGCGAAAACTTGCGGCAGCTGAGACGTGGGGTGGCAAAATACATCTATACATCTATCTAACTTGTTCCCTGTGCCCCGTTGATGTTCTGCTTTTTGTTTTCCAGGTGCTGTTGCGTCCCCGTCACTTCGCTCCCCTTAGGCGCGCCCGGAGTCCTCTGTCTGTCTCCACAGCTTCCCTTGCCTGCTTCCCTGCGCGAGTCGTGACACCAGACTAGGCTTCGTTGTCATTTTTAATACATTGTAGGACTTCTTTAGTGTTTGGTATACTTTGAATTTTAGATTTTCACTGTGGGATTAAAGATCAAAACACTGGTGCAGTTCGGTCAGCATGGACCAGGACTGTCATGCAAACCTGCCTGGTGAAAGCTTTGCCTGGTCTTCCGGAGCCATGGATGCCATGTTCTCTTCAAAGAGGGTCTCCTCGCCAGTCAGATCCATTATCTGAGTGGATCTGTGCTTTTCATCCTCCACAATGTTCTTGTCAGGCAGGTGGGTGCCTCCGTTCCTAAATACCTGCACATACACAAACACACATGCAAATACCGTGCATTTCTTGTCTATGAATTAGATACAGACTAACCAAAAATGCCAGGACGACACAAAACATAAATTATCTCAGAAGGTAAGGAGGAACAGACTAGGTGTCAACAAAAGTTTCATCATTTCACAACCAGAGACAAAAGCATCTGCTGGCCTGGTTTACAGTTTCTGCTTTGCACACCTGAGTGAAGATCACCTTCGCCTCCAGCGGTGGACAGGGTAGAACCAGCATGGTGAGCATCAGCTTCCGGAAAATGGATGTCTGTGCCATGGTTTTCAACACATCACCCCAGTGCTGCTCCATCAGGGGACTGAGGTCAGTGCTGCGCCTCCTCTCAACATTTTGGTAGTATAGGAGCTCCATTTCAAGTTGTGCAGCCTTCTTCGGAGTATCACAAAGACCCAGCCCTGAAGCCAGGTCTACCACCACCTCTTTCTGGATGCTTAGACTCCCTATTGGACTAAGCAGCAAGGACATGTTCCTGAGCTTTTCATCAGCCAATGGCAGGCTCTTCAACACAGCTGCAGTGACTGCAGTGTAGAAAGAAATGATGGCTTCAGTGAAAGCTGTCTGGGTCTCAGTTAGGACAGCCTTATGTTCCTCAAAGAAGTTTTCCACAGCAGAGCCCACTTTGAGCTCTGAATTCGGAAGGTGAGATTTCTCGCTTTTTAGCAGGTTGATGTCCTGGTCTTTGAGGAGTTTGACAACAGCATGTGAGTGGAGAAAGCTGGCCGCATATGATGGCAGTAGGTCACTGGCCTGCTGCAGTACATGAACCAGGGTTGTCCGACCACCAGTGCCTTTATCCCTATTCTCCAGTTGTTCCTGAAAGGTACAGAGTGGCTTCAGAGCATGGCTGAGGAACATAAATGTTGCCCTCAGATGGAGGTTCTCAAGGTATGTACTAATCTGCCTGACTTGATTGTCCTTGGGGTCACGGGATTTGAAGTAGGAAATAAGGTCTGGCCACATATTGAGCATCTTTTGAATGATATCACAAAAGAGTAAACAGCAGCTGGTTGCAGGATTTGTGAGACTGACAGACCCTATGTTGGCAAAGAGCTCCTTGAGATTCTCATTGGTGGTGGAGCAGGAGGAGTAGTGATTGTGAAGGTCCCCCACGAGCTCCCATACCATGCTGAAGTGCTCCCCCACAACCACCCCACTGACCCTGTTAGCCAGGGTGTAAATGTCACCTAAAGACACTGTATGGGGGTTTAACTCCTGGAGACGTAAGCCAACTTCCTTAGCTAACTCAGCGTCACCAGTGATGTAGAAAGTGGAGAGGTTGCTGACTGGGATCTCAAACTTCTTCAGGGTGTCAACTAGGCTAGAAGCAAGGTCCTTTCCAGATTGGATCACATCCAGGAGTCGAATGCAGTATCTCCCAGCTTCGGGGTCAAAATAGCCTACAAGGACAATATTGCCAATCTCAACACCATCCAGGTCCACGTCACAGTACAGGTAGGCACAATATGGATTCCTACTGCAGATGGACATGAGATCCTGTGGGTACCTTTGTCCCAGGACATACTTGGCCACATTGTGTTTTGTATTGTCTGTATATGGAGACAGAGCTGGTGTCTCCTGGCCTACACAGTGCTTCTCAATGAAGCTCAACAAGTGCTCACTGCAGGTGAAGGAGACCGCCGGGCCCACAAGAGGCAGACAGGCTGCAGGCTCTTTCTTGGCATTCCTACGATGCCTCTTGCTCTGCAGGTGCCGCTTCAGGTCGGCGCTGCCACTGTGGGCGATCATCAGGTTGAGGCTGCAGAGCTGGCAGTAGGCATGCGCATCTCCCAAAGCGCTGGGCTGAAGCCATGGGTAATCTTCCTGCCACACATGCAAGAAGGTGTGGTGTTTCTTCTGCGGCTTCAACTCCCCATCAAACTCGGACTCCTTTTTATTTTTCGCCACTATTTAAACATAAATAAAATTAATGAACAAACAATAAAGTAGAAGGTGCATTTTATGGTGGAGAATATTCCTACTGGGTACTAGTTTTTTCCATGAACATTAAAGCTCTGAGCTTTACAACATTAGGCATTTCTGCACTACACATGTGCATAAATGTGTTTGTTCACATGTGCGGCAAATGTTTTGCTTCATGAAAACTAGGGATGGGATGATCCACTTTTTTTCAGTGGGCTGAAGAGATTCCGATACACTAAATAAACTGCCGGTACCGATACAGATTCCGAGTTCATTTTACTTTAATATTTTAATTATATATATACAGTGGTACCTCAGAACTCGAATTTAATCCGTTCAGAACTCCGGATCGAATCCTAAAAAGTTCGAGTTGTGTTCGAATTTTCCACATAAGAAATAATGGAAAACCAATAAATTGGTTCGCGGCCCCAAAATATTACACCTAAATATGTTTTTTTTTTTAAGCATTTAAACCCAAAATGAACCGGATAAAACAAGAAGAGCATATACTGTATTAAACACATTTATCAAAACAGTAATTTGTAAAATAAGAAAATAAATGTATACAAACAATGTGTAAAGTTAGAAAAAACAATGTGTCTTGCCCCGATTGTCCGCTCCTTCCGTATGCCACACCCCCTTGTTAAACCAGTGTGGAATTCCCATGTGATCAGCGGTTTCCGGTTGTTGTCATTAGTCCTCTGTATTTAGTCCGCGTTTCAGTTTGTTTTCCCAGTCCTGTCATTGTATTGTCCGTCTGCGTTTTGCCTGCCTTACCTGTAATTAAACCCCGTATTCCCCGATACCCTGACATCTGCGCCTTTGTCTCCGTTCCGTCCCCACTCGGCACGACAATATTATGATAATTAAATGTATTAATGGTTTATTATTAATATTAAAATAATTAATAAGAAAGTTTTAATGTATCTTATTATACTGTATAATAATTACTGTTACTATCACTGTCTAAATGTATTTTTACTGTCTAAATATATGTATTCAGCTAGTGTAAACATGCACGATGCTATCACAGCGAATGCGAGGCTGAGACTGAAGCGTTACCCTTTGTTTCCGCTGAGAGACGTGCCGCGTGACTCATTTCCCTGCGTGTACAAGTTATCTTAGGTTGGCGTTCACGGTTTGAATTCTTAGATTCAAATCGAACTCTAGGTATTTTTTTTTCTAACTGGATGGTTTGACTTTTAAGAAATTTGAGTTCTAATGAGTTTGAGAACTGAGGTACCACTGTATATACTTTATATATTATTACTATTTTGTAAACCAGTAAATACAAAAAAATCTTTAACTAGGCTACTAGAAACATAACATACTGACCAACCTCATATATGCATCTTGTTTTAAGCATTTTTGAGGCATTTGCAGTTCAATCTGAATATCTTCCAAGCGAGGATATGCAAAGGGCGAATGCTTAAATTGTCCCACAATTTATCTCCCACTGGCAGCAGCGTCACTTACACTTCATCGCAATAGCCCCTCGTGTATCACAAGCTGTTGTGAGTGCGCAAAACAGCCCAAACTAGCGACTCCCGAATCATCCACTGCACAATTGCATGCACTTTGTTTAGTGAGATTTTTGCACTAAACGCTACTTTCACATCTCAAAACTTTGTTTTTGCAAAGATTGCCAATGGCTGTGCTACTTAGGACTGGGTACCGAACTTCTGTACTTTTGTGGTATCAACCGAAATGCTCCAATCCTCTTCAGGATCAAAAAATTTATTTAGCCAAATTCCGATACCCAAACAGTATATCTCAGTGCCTGTCAGCTAATAAGCATACAGCATACTTGTGCAAAGATCTAAAGTTGCTGGTGATTGGCTTTCTAACGTAACATTTCACGAACACGTCATATAGGCCATTTTTGGAGATGCGACTAAATTTTATAAGTAGGTGCACCAGTGTGACTTGCAAATATGCCCCTCATTTATCATATGCTTCTGATACCTGATCAATGTAATTGGTATGGATCGGTGCTGATACCGATCCAAACATCGGGTTGGTGCATCTCTAATTAAAACAATGGGTAACGCTATACATTAAACTGCACCTTCACAATGCCTTTATAATGCATTCCTAGAACATTCATAAGCAGCATGTAAGCATACCATAACATTCTAACTTATAAGCTTTAACATACTTTAATAGCAAACATTATACAATAATAAACATCATATTTGTATAATTTGTTAATTATGTATATTTTCTATTTTTTGTTGGCTTGTTATTAATGTATTTTACAGCTGTAATTTCTTATTCATTGAAAATATTACGAATGCAATGCTTTAAGACATGTTAAGGTATACTTATATGCTGCTTATGAATGTTCTATGAATGCATAATGAATGCAGGATGAAGGTGCAGTTAAAGTGAAGCATTACCAAACAATGATAGGCCACGGGCTTCCACCTTTTCAGCTGCAGTTTGTCATTCTTCTGCTCTGCAAACCACTATACAATGTCAGAAGCACCAACCTGCGTACCACCATCATGTTTCTGACTGACAAAAATCCAAATAAAACAGTAATCAGGCTCAAATACAAATGCAAAAAAAAAAAAATTGGTCAAAACAGAACAGAAACCTCTTGACAACAACCAAGCTCAACAGGTGACTTAGTGAGATTTCCCTGACCATTTTATAGGAACAGATTTGTATCAAATGTGCTGAACTACGATGCGCCTGGCATTACACCTTACCAAGCTGTTCTGCAGTGTCACTGTGCTTTGTCTTCTGAGGGGAAGTCGTGGCAGGTTTCACAGGCAAAATGTCTTGTCCCTCACGAGCCTCTGTTGGGTTGTAAGTCTGACTACAATAATTGTCTTTAAAGAAATTTCTGAACCATTTCAAAAAGGCCAAATTATCTTGAAATTTTCCTTTAACTAAATTCTCCACTGGAATTGACTGGAAGGGAAAAACACACAGAGGTCAAAGCTTTGTGATATTCCTCATTAGAATCACTGAAAACATGAAAAATATAAAAAGGAAAAAAACAAACCTTATTAACTCCTTTCTTCTTAAAGCTAGCTTGTAAAAGGTTGTAGTTGTGAATAAATTCAACTTCTTCTTTTGCTTGGAAGTTGACCTTCTTCAAGTTCAACAAACCAGGAAAAAGCCAGTCCATCAGCTGGCAGAAACAGGCACCTGGGTGCCAAAACAAAGGAAAAGTTAGCTAACTAACCAAATAAACATACTTGGGGCATAAAAATGTGGCACATAAATGTCCCTTATACCCCATTACAGTTTATGTTAACACTTTACATCAACGACACCTTCATAATGCATTTATTATGCATTCATAGAATATTCAGTGCACCTTCATAATGTATTCATAGAACATTAATAATCAGAATGTAAGTATACATCCTGACATCTTAACAACCTTAATATACATTAATAAATACCATTATATAATAATATCAAGCATTATAATCATATAATATTTGTCTTTAATGTATATTAAAGCTGTAAAGGTATGTTAGGATGTTAAAGTATACTTACATGCCACTTATGAATGCATAATGAAAGTGCACTGAATACAAATGCATTATAAAGGTACAGTTAATGTAGTGTCACCCAACATACTTCTCGAATCTAGCAACTAGTAAGCAAAAACAAACTAATAGGTAAGTACTGCACTTTGACCACAAAGTGTTGGTGCTAAACTTGACAACACTACTTGATGGGGCATAAATACTTAGTAATAACTCAGTTACTACTGAAGTACAAATTATGAACAAATAATGAACAAATATAGTTGCTACTTGAGAAGACGCATCACAATTCATTAACGATTAACAAACATGAGATCAGTATTTCACTTGTGTTATTCATTACTTGTTCCTTCAATAGTTCACAAAGGTTTACAGACTTAACACATATAGTAAGCAATATAGTAACTGCTTGACATAAAACATGTATCATGATTCATTAATGATGAATTAACATAAGATCACTATGTAAGACTTAGTTTGTGGTTAATTAATATTGTATAGTATAAAATACTAAATAATATTTGTGCTTCACCAAGTGAAGTATTATCCAGTTTTTCATGTACGGTGTAAAGTAAAACTATAAATAGGAAGCAATACCTGAACTGATCTCCTCCACCTTGGTGAAGCTTGTTTGCAGGGATTCATTGAGCCAGTTCAGCAGATCAGAATTCCAGTTATCGGACTGCATCTTTTTCGGGCTAATGTTTGCCATCTTTGCTACACAAAATAAATGCATGACTAGTTTAGCCAGGCCAAACACAGACTTACTGTAGCACTTGCCCTGCACATCTCTGAGGATGAGACCACAGTACTGGAGGCAGCATGGAGCATGGTGATTATTTCTGATCAATGATCTTTCTGATGTCGCCTTATTTATTATGCAGGCAGAGAGACACCTTAAATCATACTGCTCTTTCTGGATTTAATAAGCATGTAAAAGTGTGTGGTTATAACAAGTGTGAGATGTGCTCAAATATTATTACAAGCTGTAACCTAATCACTGATTGTATGTAAGGAAAAACAAGCTCAGTTAGCGGTAAAGTAGAACAACTACATACAATTTTATTCAAGTTAAAAACAAACATTTTAAGACATGAATTAAATGGAGATTCAATTTAATTTAACTAATTTACAGTTGCCACATATTAAAACTGTGTCGGGAAAAATAAGTAGCGCCCTTTGCTGCATGAACCTCCCATCACTGTTGTCATGGTAACTTTTACATCAGTTCCACGGTGGCAGAAATCCCGTGTCAGGTCTTAATTCTGTGACTTTTTCCTTACACTGTCCTGGGACACTGAACACAGAGCACTGCAGACAAATCTGCACTCGGCACTTTCGAACTTTTACTTCACTGGGTTATCTGCCTGGGTAACTGTATAACTATATGCAGTATAGTATATACAGGCGCCACGAACATTAAAACGATCCTTTTGTAACAGTGAAATCGGTATGATGATATTAACAATAAGCGCACTGGATCACAGTGTTTCATACGGATACTGTTAACATTGCTCTCCACCCGTTGGACAGATCTACCCTGACTGTTTCCTTTCACTTACGCAACCTACAAAGAAAATGCCGCGAAATTTCCGTGAAAATTTTTCATCGCGCCTTATAAATGACCAAGATGCAAACTTCTACGTGTATGATGAGATGGATGTAGTTTGCAACATTTCGTGATAAAATCTTCTACTGACACGCTACATTTGTAAGCCCACAATGCATTAGCTATACATGAATACTTTTCCATACAGCCAGTCACATTTGTTTTACATATCGTTAAACAACCAGTGGTAAATACTACTAAATATAATCAAATCAACACCAAAGACAAAAATCTAATTTTAGATATTCAAATGACCATGGGACATATAGGTTATTTTTTCGTTTTCATACAAAATAAAATTGCTCTTTGTTTCACCTCCTGAGTCTTTGTGTTTCTGTACACCGTCTAACCATACCATTCGATTACATAGATTCCTGACCCTACAACCCAGAAATCGGAATTTGATAATCAAACTGACCTAACCCAAGAATGCAAGTTAAATCGAGTGGTGTAATTGGTACACGTTACCTTTAAAACATTAATTAATTAAAACCACGTACATACGCTGTCCTTGCTCCGGGTATGTGCAGCGCGCCGGTCCTTTAAGTAATGGCCTGCTTCTACGCATCGCTACACCCACGTGACAACCACGAGTCCCTTCGCTGTCTTTATAGCTACCCAATACTACATTGAAATGTACTACTAATGTAAATGGTTAGTTTACTTTATTGCAGCACACAGCCCTGGCAGTTTTCCCAAGCATGTATAGAATTATAAAATACAGTATAGAAATACAAAAATGTTAACTATATTATTGATCCAGTCCAAATACTAATAAGAAGCCTCTTTTGTATGAGATACAACGAGATAGCTGTAAATTACTAATCGATACCGATCCTTTTCGAAATTCAAACAAACTGAAAAAAAAATTAAATACCAACGTAGTCTTACTTTATCTGATGAAATCTGGCGACCTGTATTTTATAACTGTGTTCCTGTTGTACTTCTCCGGAAATAAATGAACATTACAAGACGTTTGCTAATTGTTCCGGTGACATATCGGTGTATTGGTATTACCACAATCGAAGCACACTTATGCAATATTAATAATTTTTTACATAGGCCTATCACACGCAATGGTTTTCTCCTAAATTAGGATTTCGCAATGGAAATCTGAACATGATAAAAAAAAACATATAGCCTACACATTGTTACGGGAGGCTAAATTAAGGCCCATTTTATTGTTCAAATTTACTTTTTCAATATTTATTTTTAGAGGTCCATTAGTGTTACAAAGGGCTTTTCTCATAGCTAACATTTTTTCGCCTCGTGATCTTTAAGTTTCTGTGAAATAGTTTAACTTGAAGCTGAATATGATATAACGTGCACGGTATTACATGGTAGAATCAAGAATGGTTTTCGTAGGTACATCCTTTAATAAACACATTCTTCCTTCGGGTTTAATCTAAACCATCCTAACATACAAAATTAATCAAACAGAATATGTTCCAATGCATAATGAATTTATATTGATTCCATAAATAAATCAATAAAACAAATCGGACAAGAATCTGTTCTTGGGTGTACGCAAAATGGCAGACACCATTGGCATTACTTCGCGGTTTCTCAGTTGCACAAAATGGCGGGTATAACGTTGCTTCCTCTGGCATATTATATATTTTATTGCTGAATTTATGCTTCGTTTTCTTTTAAAAATTGGGTTATCTTCATAGATTTACATGTTTGGGTGTTCCTAAGAATTTTTTTTTTTTTAATGCCGGATATTGGTTAACTTTAATGGTTCAGATGACCGTATCCCGATTGTTTTATATTTACATTTACTTTTTTGCAGACGTTTTTAAGCGACGGGCTACATATGAACTATATATACCGGAAGAGCAGACAGTATGTGGCGACTGAGATATTCAGTAGCGTGGCCTATTGTCAAGGAGGGATTCATTTGCCGCTTATGGCGTATCAACAGATAAACGATTCTACCTCGGGTCCTCGAGGCGGACCACGTGCCTGGTTTTTGATATTCGTGAATTCTTAATTAATAGGCTTGTATGACGTAAACTAAATTGATATCAGTATTTAAAAATGTACATGAGAAACTTTGTATACATTTAATCCCGTTAATTTCTTAATTTTTTAGTTAACAAATACCGCCCCCTTTATTTGGTCGTTTGTGAAACAGAGCGGAATGTCTGCTTATTTTATTTATAGGAATCTGTCAACGGACAAGTAAGTATTTGTCAGTTTAAAGCTGGTTAATAAGGCTGAATTAGAGGGACCGTAATGACTTAAATTGATGCATATGTCCTAAGTAATCTAATTTAATGTTCGATACATTTAAGTATATTCCTGTTGTTAATTTACGGGGAAAGCAAACTATTTGCCATTTAATATTTGACCCTTGTACAATGTTAATGTTTCATATTGTTTATTTCATGAAATATTATTTAAATATGACACACTGCCCTGAAAGGGGCAACATTTATCTAGGCTAATAAACGGTGGTGGTCAGGGGCCTGTCTAGCTATCAGGAGCTAAGTCAGGTTTCCTTACATTTTCATATACATTTACTGCATTTGGCACATGCCCTTAGCTAGAGCCACTTTCAGAAGTGCTTTGAAGTCATCATCATGAATACATTCTGATACTGGTTCAATAGCACCTGGGTTAAGAATACCATCAGTCCAAAAACTCTGTTGGCAAGTAATAGATTTTTTTAATTTATTTTTATTTAGTTATTATTATTTTTGTATAAGAATGTAACACTGGAAGTGCTAATCCAAGTACTTCTGAAAGATGGTGCATGTCTTCCTTGTGCCTTGAGAGATGGGACCAGTCGAGCAGTACTGGAGGATCAGAGAGAGCATGGTGCAATGCGAGGTGTGATAAGTGTTTTTTGGTACCTGGAGCTTCACTTTTTTTTTCTTTTTTTTTCTTTTTTGACGGAATATTGGCATCGGGGATAAAATACTCGGGGCTAGGCTTAAAATACTCCAGACTATAGACCCGAGTGATCAGACCTAACAACACCCATGGTGATAGTCAGTTTAAATTGTTACACTTAACTAATTGTTAACTTGTACAAATACAATCCTTGAAAACTTGTTGAAAAGGTAAAAAAAAATAGCATAGTTGTTAAGGAAAAAGGCTTAATGTTGCTGGTTGAAAATATAGTAAAGGCATTTTTGAAGGAACCTGTACAAGGAGAGTTACCTGAGTTCCCACAGTAAAGTATGCTTATCAAGAATCCATCCACTCTGCAATGGCATTTTCCTAAAATGCAGCCAACAGTATTAAGGATTAATAAAATTAACAGAATCAGTTATTCAAATTTAGATTATCTTAAGGCATCCAAGCTAGCTTGTTTGTCAGAGTGTCAGAGTAGTGCAGAGTCAACAACCTGCTCCTCAACACCACAAAAACAAAAGAGCTGGCTATTGATTTCAGGAAAAATAAAACTGACATTCAGCCACTCACCATCGCCGGGGCATTTGTGGAGAGGGTCCCGGTGTTCAGGTTCCTGGGTATGGAGTTGGAGGATGACCTGACCTGGACTGCTAACACTAAGGAGCTGCTGAAAAAGGCGCAGCAGAGACTGTATTTTCTGAGAATCCTCAGAAAGAACCATCTCCCCAAAAATCTGCTCCTTGCCTTTTACCACTGTTCCATGGAGGGCATACTTACATACGGACTCTGCGTGTGGTACAGCAGCTGCACTTCCTCAGATGTGAAAGCTCTCCACAGGGCCATCAGGGCAGCAGAGAAAACAATTGGCTGCCCTCTCCCCACCATGGAACAAATCTACACCTCCCGATGCCGAAAAAAAGCTATGGACATTTTACATGATTCATCACATCCTGGTCACTGTCTCTTTCATCTTTTGCCATCAGGCAAGAGATACAAAACAATGAAAATCAGGATAAATCGCCTAAAAACAGTTTTTATCAGAAAGCAATCATGGCCTTATACTCAAAATAAGTGCAATTTGTATATCCAGTGCAATTTCATCCATCCATCCATCCCTTGTCCAACCTGCTTATCCTACTGGGCTGTGGGGGGTCTGGAGCCTATCCTGGAAGCAATGGGCATGAGGCAGGGAACAACCCTGGATGGGGGGCTAGTCCATTGCAGCCACAGGGCACACTCACACACCATTCACTCACACATGCATGTCTAAGGGCAATTTAGCAACTCCAATCAGCCTCAGCATGTCTTTGGACTGTGGGGGGAAACTGGAGTACTTGGAGGAAACCCCACGACGACACGGGGAGAACATGCAAACTCCGCACACATGTGACCCCAGTGGAGACTCGAACCCAGGTCCCAGAGGTGTGAGACAACAGTGCTAACCACTGCACCACCATGCCGCCCCCTCCAGTGCAATTTGTATATTTTAAATATATTCTTTTATTACTCTTATGCCTCACATTGAGTCGACTGCATTTTCTCAATTTCGTTGTCAAGTGACAATGACAATAAAGATTATCTTATCTTGTTTGATTTCAGGTGAAGAAAACTTGTTGTGGTGCTCCAGATTGGTAGGATATACTGGTAGGATATACTATTGGTAGGAAGGCAAAGATGCAATAAAAAAAAATGAAAATGTGGTGATATGTTTAAGGATCTGAGTCAATTATTAATAAGTTAAAAGAATATATTATGTGAAAGTCACCTGAGAATCTAGGGTGAAAGTTGTGAAGTCTTAATATGTAATATAGTGTCCTTGGATCCACAACTGCAGAAAGAGCCCTTAAAATGACAGTGTCTTGGCCTTTATGTGCCTTAAAGTGATTCGTGTGATTCATCTTTTCATCAGTACCCAGTAGTCATTTTCACGAATGACTATAC